CAGGGTTTAATATATCAGCCCACCCTTTGCAGCTATAACAGCTTCAGTTCTTCAGGGAAAGCTTTTTATAGGGCTTCAGTTGGGACCGAATGATATTGATTTGCACTAAGTGGGATTGCTTTCTAATTAATGGTATCTTTCAGCTGGTGTCATGGTAGGAGGATTATTGGGAGACTTTTTGAGTGGATTGTTCGGTTTTGGCTGTGGAATATGGATTTGGATCACAGACTTTGAAGGTTGGCATTCAGTTCAATTCAATTTTATTTATACAGTGGATCAGGGAGAAGAAGAGAGGATAGAAGTATGTTTGGAACTTAGAGCAGCAAAAGAAGTTTAGAGGGGAATAGTTCAGATAACGGTGATGAAAAATGATCATCAGAGAAGACTTTAAAATAATACTGACGATGAAGGGGTGCAATAAGGCCTGATAATTTAGCCGTTAAAACAGAAGAGCAGAAAAATAAAGTGTTAAATACTGAAAGTACCTGCAAAAGTGTGTGAGAGAGGAAAATATTGGAGGAGTTTTAAGTGGGAGTAATCACAGGTATCCCAGTGAGGAAGCATATCTTGCAGTGAAGTCAGCAGGATTAAAAGACTGGCGAGAACAGTCAATCGGGAAAGAGTTGACATGTGTCTGTAATGCTGGAATTCCAAGAACTGGTTCTTCCAGGTAGAGTTAAGTTCGGATGTATGAGTTTTCCAGTAAGGCCTGCCTGCCTCTCAGGTCTTATAAGTGCCAGAGGGCACGTCGCTGCAGTGTGCAAGGTGAAAGTGCAAAAGAAGGGACAGTTTCAACAATCTTCAACAGCAGACCAACGACAGACTGAAGAAACCCATCCAGCAATCAGAGGGGAGAAGAGGATTTTGTTCATTGCGTGTGCAATAAACTGTAAAGTAAAACACAAAACAGAGAAGATTAAAATAATTGTGAAAGGGGCAGAGACATTTTTGGCATAAAGGATTTTAATTTTAATTTTAATTTTAATTTTTTAATTTTTTTAAAAAAAATTAAAAAAATTTTTTTTTAAATTTTTTTAAAAAATTAAATTTTTAATTTTTTTTTAAATTTTTTAAAAAAATTTTTAAAAAAAATTTATTTTCTGGGAGCATGTTCATAAGAGACTGGGGGGAGATGAGAAGTCAGGAGGACCAGGAGAGAAGACGGTCTGGTTTTTATACAGTGGATGGACAAGAGAGGTTTCATTAAGGATCTTAGAAAGAAACTAGATATTATCTGTATTCAGGAAGCCTGACTTCGACCACGTTTGGATTTTGTTACTAAAGAGTTTATAAAGAGTATGAGAGTGTTTGGAGAGACAGAAGGGAGGGTACATGTGTTATATTTATGAAACAAGTAGTTCAGTATTATCAGAGTCCTCGGAGAATACAATGCAGAAATGGGGTTTTGGATCAGCTGAGTGTAAAAGCAAAGCTTGACCCATTGATCTACGTCCCTGCCCTCACCTATAGTCATGTTCTGTGGGTAGTGACCAAAAGAACGAGATCGC